AATAAGACATAAATTGTTCAATCTACATGTTTCGGTGAGAAAATGTAGATCGCGCAAGCTGAAATTAATTTGTGAAAGCTCCTTTTAACAGCATTCACTTCATAATATATTTTACAATAGTATTTTAAAATTTGTACACCGATATTTAAACTTTCATGTATGTTAGACATGCTTATATTATTGTATTTCTGGTTCTGGTATCTCATAAACATCTTTATTCATAACTATTTGTTGTTTTTAAATTTAACGACAAATCTTGTCAGGAAAAAGATAAGTTGTAGAAAAACACTACTTATCAGTTCATAATTCTTTCATATGAAATACGACGTTCATAAAATGCTTTACATTTAAATCCGTTACATACGTATATATGTTTAAATGTATGTTAATTTTTATGGTCATTCAATAACTACAAAATCAAATTTTGATATTAGCATATATAATCTTTCAATTTTCTTATATTACAAATAAAGACAAGAACATAAGTCTTGCAACTTACAAAAGAAAACATAATATTTGAACATATACTAAACATGAAAACATAGTGATAGTTATGGATAACGGTATTAAACGTGCTGAAGCTAACACTGATGATGATGATTTAAAACTCACACTAACAGCACCTCAACGATGGAATAAAATATGATTTGTTTTCCTTTTCTTCTGTACAACATATGTTGCCTGCTTCTTTTATGTGTTAAAAATTCTCTAAATAGTAATCGAATAGAGCTACTACATCTTATTGATATATAAAAGTTACACTATTGAATTTGGAAAACCCAATAAGTAAAATCCATTTGAATCCCTAATTACATTTATATTGTTACAATAAGATGATTAATAATTCAAATTACTTCCTTGTTTATTGGCCATTGAGGGGCCTTCAGTAGAAATAGTTTATAACAGCATTTCATGTATATATGTACGCCGCTCAACACATCATACTTTGCCAGCTTATATTGTGGGACAAACTGTAAAACTTAATTTATGATATTTTGACACTAAAGTTAGAAACAAATACGACTTTTATTATCCAGATAATAATGGAAAAACAATTTTATTTCAGCCAACGTTTCGCCATTGCAGTTTCGATAGGGCTAGTAATACAATCACTAGAGTGATTTTCTAGTTTCATACCATTCAAATAATATTTCACTCAGACTTGTAATGTTTATACAGTAAGGCAGTAACTTTCATGATTATGCTATTCTTATGTTAAAAGAAGAACTGAAAAAAAAGCTAACTGAGCTGAATCGAATTTTAAGGATTCGGAGTAAGATCACAAAAATATACACAGAGAATTGATGAAGTGAAGATTGAAGGTTGGCACATTCGCGTCCATTATCTTAGCTGTACAGGGGAACCAACCGACAAGCAATGGCTCGGGTTCGAATTCCACTTACACTTGTTTCGTTTGGTTTTTAAACATGTTCAAATGGAATACATAAAACGGCATGCTTTTTAAAAAATTCACAAGCGGTGAAAATCTTAGAATAATTTTTTTGTTGATATATGTATCTTGTGAGCTGTTTGTAGTATGTTAGGGACGGTAATTGATATCGCTTTTAAAATACGTAAGATAAAAACAGATAAACGTAATCGAAAACAAAACAATCCTGAATAATCGGAGAGTTTTCGGAAGGTAGATCTAAAATTGGTAAATGCTGCTGAACAAAAATGCCCCGTTACAAATATCATACCTGTTTTAAAGGCTGGCTTGAAAAATCAATGTCAACATAATGTTTTGTATTCTCAGGGTTTTATTAGTATATACCTTAGGAAATACACACTTTCTATGTATGCTTTATTTAACTTCAGTGAAAGCAGAGGTACTACATTTTCTTACGATTTTACTCTGCGGGCACTTTTATATACATAATGCAATACTTTCTTGACATTGAAGACATATCTGAAGTTTTAACTTGTTGCAGGTATTTACTTTTCTTTTCTCAGTAAACATCTTGCAATATTTTTACACGTTTTAGCATTTGTTATGTTTCCATACTGTTAATTGATGTATTCCGATTTAATAATAGTAGCAATTACTTTAATTGGGAATATCTTAAAATAGCACTTGGGCGTTAATTAACAATGACAAGGGAAAACAAACATAATGGTTAGGTAATTGCTTTGTCTAACAGAGATTTGAAACCAAGTTTACAGTCACTATAACAATGCACATTATACTGTGTTGTGCTATATAGCCTATAAACGCCAACAATCACCGACTAACAGATGATAAAGCTATCGTTGCTCTGAAATGGTTTTAAATAATAGCAGCAATTCAAACGTCTGCAGAGTTGGGTATTTCAAACTCACTGATGAACAATGATTACTTCATTGTATGATATATAATGAATTACTGTGATGTATACAAACAGCTCATTAACTTTCTCACACAGTTTATTACATTCGTTGCCAAAATCATTTTAAATAATGATAATGAGTGTTTTCATACTATCAGTATACTTTACCACTGTTACGCTTATATACGGGAAAGTTGTATCAAATATTTAAACTATTTTCAGTTATATCGACTCATAGTAATTCAATTCGTATTTTCTTTGATTCATACTGATATGAAGTTTAAGTTTTCATTACAATTTATATATATGTTTAAGTTGTTTTTTTCATTGTTACTGTGAATGTACTTCAGATATGAACAATTCTTCTAAACATTTCTGTACTGGAAACCTTTTTATTATCGCCAGTTCAACTCTGATGTAATTAAAGAATGTAGCATGCTTGAGCAGACACACGTTTTTGATCGAAAAGCTGAAAAACGTGAATGCTCAAACTGACAAGAAACGGGGCTGTTTCATATTGTTGTGAGGGGTGGAAGAGCATGAAGGTGGGTGTATGAACTGGTAGTTAAACCAGGGAAACTTCATCTTTACCTGTAATTTGATAAACAGCGACAGTTTCTGTCATCGATCTTTGAAATAAGGTGATGCTAAAAACTCAGCCAGTTATAGAATAATATAAACCTGATATGAACGTAAGATATCTCATATTGCATAATAAAATATGTATATTTATAGTTGTGAAAAATACATGTTATTTTTAGCCTAATTGCGTTTTATAGAAATATATTTCACAACTACCGTGCAACTGATGTGTGCATTTATTTACACAGACAAAAGAAAGGTAACAACTGAAATGTGAGTCATTTTTGAAAAGAATGCTTTTTCAACCACCATTACGTAGGTTTTACAAAACATGGTGATCCTATGTAATGTTACAACAGAAAAATGCCCGTAGAAACAGATGATGTATGTGAATTCTAAAGAAAGTTCGAAACTAACTCTATAAGTTCCCAGTCTATGTGTTCCGGATATGGTAATATCTCATTCTTTTGCGTTATCCAAAGATGATGCCCCACGTGATCTGACAGACAAATAAAAAAAGGAATCTCATTGGTCCTCACATCGACTGTCAGTGTTTACAGCTTTATACAAAATGTTAAATAAAAAACAGTAGGTTTGTTGTTTACAAGCCTTCTTAAGGACGATACATTAAAATAAGTCACAAAACATAACTTATCTCAAGTTGAGTTTCCTCAGTGGGACGTTTTGCTAAAGGAATGTTATAATATTTGGCATCTCCGTAGAGTATTGGGTCCTTTCAAAGTTTTGGAGTTTTATATATAGATTGTTTTAGTAAAATCTTCGATTACTTTTGGTGTTATGATAAGGCTATCTATCATAAGCCCTTAAAGACAAATTTGCGATTTTTCCCTCTTGATCCATGTGAGAGTAACAGGTTCCAGCTCAGATAAAATGTGGTTGTGGTCAATCAAATTTACCTTTTCTACTTAATTGACAGCTCAAAAGTCATCTACAGATTCTCGTTCAAATTGTCCAAAATGTGAAACCGACCTTATAATGTTTGCAACATTTCTAAAATGTTTCGAATTCGATTTTTAATGCTTTAAAGTTTTAAATTAAAAGTAAAAAATATATTAAGATGCATGATTTTATTTATGTTTTTTTGCTTTTTAAGTTGTTGTTTGAATGAGTCGAAACTTTTCCTCAAATATGCTATATTTTCTCAATTCTGAACACGACGGTTTTATCAAAGATAATTACAAAAAATCACTAAGGCTATTTCAAAGAAAAGCTATATTCTATGTGCACGACACAAATGTTAAAAGAACAAAATGCTTTGTATTTATTAAAATGTATTCATTTATTTTGCAAGAATTCTAACGTTTTCTAAACTGTCATGATTCGGTATAAATATTCGTTTTTGTCTTTAAAACAAATCCATGTTTTATGTTAAATGTATCACGACAACACTGTGTTACTAACATAAAAAGCACTTGTAGAGCGATCGATAACAGTAATTATGCATAATCTACTAGAGCTATGTCAATAATGAGGTACATAGCCCCAACAGTAATTAGTCTTCTCTACTAGTTGTATTCTCTTCAGTGGGGACGATATTATGTCTGTGAGATCTTATCTATCATCTCAATTAACGCTGATTACTTGCGGTGAATGATACACACACATATAATCAATACGTCAAAGTCATGTTTGTATCATTGTATTCTAAAGTATAAATATTGAATCGATATTCTCAGTCGCACGTGACTCAAGGTACACATATATTAAATATCCATGATGTCATTGCTCACCCATCAAAATTCAGTTTATTTAGTACTCAATAATTTCTTTTTTGCTTCAGCAAACTACAAATACTACCATAACTTAACTATATACAATAAAACTTTAATCGTTGAATGTTTTAGTCTCATAAAATACTATGTATAAATATTATTGGATCAAACGCTGTTCACCTAATGTCAAAATTTTTTGTTTCTATATGAACAGAATAGTAACTAATTTTAGTGAGTTTTATGTTCTATTTCAGTTAGGTGATATTCACCTAGTAAGTGCAAAGGTAACTAAGTTTTTTTGTTTTTCATATGTAACTGAATTGGTTACTTTAACTTCGAATGCATTTTAGCACCTTTATTATTCATTGTTTCTTGACAGGCGTACCAAATCGGCCAACACTTAATTTAAGTCTGAACCTGAACACAGCGAACGCCCCCAAAAGGGCTCGTCAGCAACTGTTTTTCAGTTTTGGTTGCCCGGTGCTGAGTGCTGTTGGTGAAACAGTTGATCCTAACATTCCACTGGAGAGACAAGGGTGCGTATCCAATTTATAATACCACTGAATACAACTAAATGGGTCTTAAGATCAATTATTCATTATAACTGTATTGAAATGATCGAAAAGGAAAACACTGGTAGACATTTTACTGAGTACCTTAAGATATTCTACAAACAGTTTAGAATTGTCACATTTATCTCTTTGAAAATGTAACATAATTATTTTTGCTATTAAAATAAGGTTATCGTTCATGTACAATTACCTCACAAAATTCAGGTTATCAGAGAATTGAATTCGACTGGGTGTCTAAATATCGAAGTAATTTATGGTCTCAAACAAGAATATACGCTCTTTAAGAAAAATGACACCTCGTAAGTGGCGCTGTGAAAATAACTTTCCCTTGTGTGACCCATAGTGACAAAAGAAAGCAAAACCAAGACCTGACATAGTAAAAATAAAGGATCAGTCATTGCGAACAGTTTTATTTTATATATAATTCAGAGAAAACATTTCTATTTTTGAACATATTTAATTCATTGCTTCCGAAGTATTTTGGTTATTGAGGACCAAAGAAAGATAAGATTATTTTTGAACATGTTTAATTCATTGCTTCCGAAGTATTTTGGTTATTGAGGACCAAAGAAAGATAAGATTATTTTCAATTTTCTTACCGTATTATTGATGAAACTACACCGTTAATATTTGTTGATTTCCAACTAATTCATTTACAGTTTTTTTTATAAAAATCGAAAGCTTCTAATGTGTAACGTGAAATAATGTTTTTCTTTCAAGCAGGTGGTATCACGGGTCTATAAATAGAATAGACGCAGAAAAGCTTTTGAGGAATTTGAAAGAAGGAAGTTATCTCGTCCGAAACAGCAAAAGCTCAAAAGGAAAATTCTCTTTATCTCTCAAGTTAGTTAATCGCCTTATTTTTTCTAATTAATAATAACAATAAAAAAAAACACTTAGTTGATTGCATGCTAGGTATTCAGTGATATCTCATAGTTGCGTTTTTTGTTTATGTTATTACGAAATTCCAAGTGTTTTTTTAAAGTTAACAGTGTTTTGAGCATTATGGAGAAATATTTGTTGCTATTTGTATTTTTCAGTTCAACATAAGTGAAGATAAGAGTTATATTCAACTTTAGCTTGAGGAGCTATATGATTAGGATTTATTAATGGCTTGATATAACATCAGAGTACTGAATAATACACTGATTTATAATATTACTGTATCTTTCTAGATTCAATGAAAAGCTATTAAAAATGTCCTTTCAAATGAAATTTCGCTGTTTATTTTCTGCATTTTTAAAGACAAAAAGAAGATGACACAGCAATAACATGATTTATTTATTTAGTTCAATTCAGAGAAAGTTCGTTGAAAATAATGACTTCCCTCCTCAATAATTGTATTTTTTTAACAGACCTTACGTTTACGAGCTCGCAAACAACAACTTCAGTTTTGTTGGAAAATATTCCCATTGAAAGTTGGTTCAAGTGCATCAGTATTTTACTTTTCAGCCAGATGAATAGGGAGCACAAGGAACTTAAACTCTTTGCTATCTAGCCAGACGTTTTTATGTAACACGAGGCTTTGAGGCTCTCCTGGAGTGTTCAAGTAGTAGTGTACTGTTTTACTACATCAGTAGGTGTACTTAGACAGTCAACAAATGTTATGAGCCCTTTGAACAAGTACTGTTTTCCTTGCCTCGCTCACCATATGAAACAAACTACCAGACAAACTTTGTAGGAAGTATAAAATCATTAAGTTTTCTTGAATCCTACAATGGAAAAGAATATTAATCATGTTTTTTGTTGTTGGATAGTCCTATTCTTGATGAGTAATCACAAAAAAAAACAGGAAAGTAACAAAAACTTCTGACTTAGTTGCTGGTTTCTATTATCATTATTTTTCTTAGTCAGTAGAGCAAGTTAATACTTATGCAAATTATGCATTGTCATAGCAAACAAAGTGTCCTCAGATCTTTTAGGACGATTATCCTTTAATTGTATATCATACCCATTGAATGTTTGGCGCTGAATATACTGTGTCAAAAACAGTAAAGAACTTTATAATTAAGTTAATGTAATTATAACTTGCATTTGTTAAAACATTACGGATTGTAGAATGCTCCAGGAAAAGAAATCAATGTAAGGATGACTCACTCGATAATAAAACTACTATAAGATGTGTTTCAAAATAGTATGAACTTTGCATTTCAAAAACTAATTATAACAAGTTACTCAAAACTGAGAAAGTTTAAGGATTTTCTTTCACTAGCATGTACTATTGATCTTTCTGAGTCAATCATTATTGGTTCATGAACAACTATTAACTTTGTCTTTTTACGAAATAACAGACACGTGAGCGATATTACCGTGTCTGGCACCAAAAATGTGGCGCCTCGGAGGTGAAAAAAAGACATTAGCCTTTTTCTCTACAAATTGAAGTAAACAAGCCTTTTTGTTTATTACCTTATTGGTCAGTAAGCAAGCATTAGGATCACGTGCTTGCGAAATGTGTGCTGGAAATTATAAATGCTGAGTAAAAAAACACGAAAAAATAACTTCATTGATCACAAAAAAACAACAACAATAAAAAAAACATGAGGACGAAAACTTTAGTCTGTTGTTCTCTACTTCCATATTTGTGAACAACGCAAATAGTGTTTTTAAAGAAGCACAATGAAATTAGATAGGCTAATAGAGTTGGTAATACAATATAGGCTATCTGGAGAAGCGTTGTGCAGTACGTCTTGTGTTTCACCTGTTAAGGTTGGAGATCTAAAACATATTGTAGAAAAAAACAAAAACGCAGGCACATTAGCAACCACGCGCATATTTAGACTACATTCAGCAGTATATAACGTGAGCACACAAATACGTATGAAGTGCTTCAGTTTATATGCTCGTTCGTAAATCTTTACATAAATTAAGTTCACTATTGTATTTAGTAGCACTGTGGAACTAAAAAGTATAACACATTGTGTATAAAGTTCAACAAACCGTAACTTTATACAGTGTAATAGAGACAAAATTATGCCAAACAAAGGCCTTTCAATCCTCTTTCTCATGTTATGTTAATCCTTTCCTAAAAGTTAATACCCTTGGTTAATTTGACTTCCCAGTACGTTCATTAACTAATGTCAAGGCAGACTGAACAGCTAATGATCCAACCTATCACTTTGATCTTTGATTGAAATGTTAACTCTCTAGAAAACACTGTATTTGTGTCAGTGATATTTTTTAACTTTGCGTTTGATTGTTTTCCTTAGTCCTTATCATGTTGACACACTTGGTTAGTGTTCTACTTTCGAGCCGTTACCGAGCTAACTTGTAGCGAGTATATATATATTGAACCATAAGTACCACAAAGGTAATAAAAGCAAGCCAGTGCCGTTGGATTGTAATTAACCTAAGGATTTTACTGCGCATTTGTTAAGGCTTGAAATGCTTCAATGACTGACAGCAGTAATCAAGACATCCAGTGAATTAATCAATGCTAACTAAAAGAAAGAAAGACAAAGGAGTGACACCATTGTAGTACTAGTCTCCTATACGTCTTCATTTGTTTTAGTGTTTAGTGGCTTGCTATTATTAGACAGGAAAAGATTTGCAAAAAAGTCTAGAATTACAAGTGATAAAAATACTTTTATTTCATTTCTTTCACAATACTTCATTATTAGTACATATGTTTAAAAAGGCCTCTATAATTGCGTGTTAGTAAGCTCTTATAATTAGCTCACGTTGAGCTACCCTGAAATGTAGTAGCTTAGATGATAAGTACACAAAGGTCATCCATTAATTATACAGTAGTATCACCTAACTTACTTCTCAAGTGTGATTGGTCAAAATTATTCTCGTACAACTACCGTCAGCACTTTTTTCGAAAGACTTATTATTTGAATACGATATAACATTGAAGGCGTTTCACACTGAAATACATTCTTTTTAATTAAATTCTGTGATTAACCATGTTTTACTTTTTAAGTGCCCCCCGTTGCTCAGTGGCAAGTATGCAGTATTCCGGTGCTAAAATACGGGTTTTGATACCTGTGGTGGGCAGAGCACAGATAGCCCCTTGTGTAGTTTTGCACTTAAGAACAATGAAACCTAACGTTTTTAAATGATTTTTGTTTATCATAAAAACCGATATTTAAATTTTAAGCGATTTTTTCATGTTAAAAACATATTTTAGTTTTTGTGGTAATTTGAGTTTATCTAGTGCATACAAATAAAATTAAAAAAGTATCTCATTTATTATTATCATTTAATAACCTTTCAATTAATTATTTTCTAGTACTTTTCAGCTATAAGTACTTTATTGGATTTAGACGTTGTTAAACACACATTTCTGTAACAACAACACTTATGTATAAAACCACGGCGTGCCTGCACTGATAATAATGTCAACTAATTCAATACAGCCAGTGGTACAACTGGAACGTCTCATTCATAATTCATGTGTTTTCGCAGGAGTGCCAAAGGCTTCATGCACATGAAAATCGTCCACAGCGACGAGAAGTTTATCCTAGGTCAATTCGGAAGGCCGTTCGACAATGTGCCGGAGATGGTCCATCATTACTCCGTGAACAAGCTGCCGATCAAGGGGGCAGAACACATGTCTCTGCTTCACCCTGTCATCGACCAGCTCCTATAAAACTACAAAAGCCGATGACGTAAAAAGTACTTACAAAAAACCTCCTCTTGAGTAAATTTACTGAATTTGATCATTAAGTGAATGTTTCAACCTTGTTGAACAGTTTCTAGTTGTTAGAATAGAACAGGCATATGGTTTGTAAGCTCAAGAGTTTCTTGTTACTACCAAGAATTATTCGTTACATGTTGTACTATACGTGAAGATATATCCTGCTTCGAAAATAGAAAATGGGTAAAAATATGTGTGGATGGAACTGATTTTGTTTTATAAATACAAAGGCATGAGTGCCAACTTCACATTAGTATTAAAGTACTGTAATGGGTAAAAATATGTGTGGATGGAACTGATTTTGTTTTATAAATACAAAGGCATGAGTGCCAACTTCACATTAGTATTAAAGTACTGTAACTATTTGTCTCTTCGTCAGTTTTTGTTTATTGTTCATAAATTAAGTAAATTCAATTATATCTTAAGTGCTACTGTAGTGTTTCCACAAACAGTGGTTATTGAAGAAAAAAAAAGCATTTTATAAGTGTTCGTTTAAAAGAAAAACTAGAAATAAACATAATATTTCGTTGTAAACAGCATATTGACTACTTTTAACAATATTTTCTCACCGCTTTTGGATGACAAATTCGTAAAGAAACTTTCGTTTAAATCAAAATAATGTTTTTTTTAATAGAAAAGTTCAGTGTTTTCTTAACACCTGACTAAATCGGATACATTATTGATGTGATATATGTTAGAGTTATATATGAATGTGTAGTTTTATAACGATTACAAAATCATTTACAAACTTGTTTCACAGAAAGAAAAACTTAAGATTTAAGATCTCTGGAATTTAATTACATACTTTACAATATTTTTGATTTAATTTCCATATGTATATAAATACTCTTAAAACAACAAGTTAAGTCTAATACAATATTATACAGTTATATACATTAATTTTACTTTTATAACTCATTGAATACTTTATGCGAATTCATTAGGAAGAAAGATAGTGTTTGAAAATTTAATGTATAAAGAATATTAACGGTTAGAGACGGCTTGAATGGGTAATGAAAAAAAACTTTAATATAAGTTTAACATAACAGCAAATGTACAACGTTTCGACAAGGTTTTGTCATCATCTGGTACGTTAGGCTGGGCTGCATTGTTGTGTTTCACTTCACGTTGTTGTAGTTTCCTTAGTTGATCTAGTTTCTTATTGTGTATAGACTTCTTTTCTTGATTCAACAATGAATTGTTTTGGTTGATAGCGCCTTGTATATTGCCGTAATCATCTGGTTTGAGGTAGCAGGCTAGTTGGTGGTCTAATTTCTGTTTGAGTTTTTGTAAATAGTCCAGTTCTTGATATTTGGAGTTCAGGATTGCTTTTAGGAGTTTTTTCTGCATGTTTTGGATAATACATGAAAACTGGTTTAAGTTTTTCCATAACTTGACCTTCACAAATTTAGGAATCAGCTTTTCAGAGCGGTACTGTCTAGGAAGGAAATATCGTTTCTCTTTTTTGATGATTTTTATATTCAGGTTACGTAGTTTAAAGATGGTTTCACGGTATGATTGGTTTATGGTAGTGGATTGGTGAGAGAACATACTTAAAAAGTTATACATGGAATAACAAAGATAAACGTTTAGATTTACACAACCTCGATTAATCGCCGTGATGAATTCAAATTCGATGACGAGGAACCCACTTTGAGACTAATAATGGTTGGAGACGGCTTGAATGGGTAATGAAGAAAAACTTTAATATAAGTTTAACATAACAGCAAATGTACAACGTTTCGTCAAGGTTTTATCATCATCAGGTACTATTATTAATCTCAACGTGGGTTCCTCGTCATCGAAGTATAAAGAATATGATATTGATCCATAAGTATGTAAGATTTCTACCTATTTTAATGAGTTATTAAGAATTTGGATAGCCAGTTTCAAAAAATATTGATAATGATGTGTTTAATACGCGAACTAAATGTTTTTTATCGTGAAACGTCGACACAGGATGGTAATCAGGAGACTCTGGGAGTATTATTTTTCTTCTTTTTTTTCCAATACACAGGATGGTAATCAGGAGACTCTGGGAGTATTATTTTTCTTCTTTTTTTTCCAATACACAGGATGGTAATCAGGAGACTCTGGGAGTATTATTTTTCTTCTTTTTTTCCAATACATCGTTCGCTAATACTCTTTGTATGACATTTTTTTGTAAAATATCGACATAGTAATTGTTTCACTGAATTTGTTGTTTTTTGTTAACTGATGGCAAATATATGTTGGTTTAAGCAATACAGATATAAAAGATATTCCAAATACTTTATTTGTTTACAGAGTGGTAAAGCTTAATGAAGTCTAATTTTATGAATGTATAGATCTAAATTGTTATCAGCAGTCTTTGCGCATTTCATTTATGAAAATGTTCAACGTTTTGAATAATATCTATGTATGTTTTTAAGTTATGTGTTAAGTTATATCTTTGAACGACTGTTGTCATTATGATATCGTAGAATATTCTATTTGTTGTTATTATCTGCTAAAATTGTAGAATTGTAAATCAAAAAAATATTTTTGTCTAATTGATGCTTTAATATACAATACTCATTATTAGCTTTTCAATCTGACAAATTTCTTGATGAACTGCGTTGAATGAAACAAAATTTAACACAAATGCCAATGAACTTCTTGATGAACTGCGTCGAATAAAGCATATTGTAACACAAATGGCATTTTTTTATGATTCTTTTAGGCCGAGAAAAATCATTTGGCAAATGCCTAGAATGAATTATTATTACCAAGTAAATTACGAGGAGGTAAATTAAGGCAAATTCTTAATGAAAATATATGAATAACTTACAAATAATGTCCATCGACGGACTCATTAATTTCATGCAACAGAAAAAATGGTTAAAGTTACAAATCTGTCAATTTCTATTGAAATCTGAGATTTCTTTTGTAATTATTGCATTAGAGAAAGAACGGGAGAATAGGTGTTATTTTTGAGAGATCAAAAACATTTTATAGATGTTTGAAAAGTCTGTGATGACTTTGAATATTTGTTGAAAGTATGCGTATTCATTGCCTGATTTTATGAAATTGTCAATATATAATTTTCATGGACGTTATTGAAGACTTCCTTGTTCATTTCTATAATTCATTCTGAACAGTATGCTATTCAGAAAACATTTTTTCGTATTCCAAATCAATCTTTCAAAACACACTTAAATTCTAGATTGAAATGAACTAATTTTAGAATAAGCAATAAAATTCTATAGTTAATTGTAAGACATATAAAAAAATCCACTAATACATGTATGTCACCGATTTCAAATTAGCTAAGTGCAATAAAGCCTAAACTATAACTTGGAAGCAACACGTGGCCTGTTTCGTAGGGCCGGAAACCCATTGGTAATTAGTGTTACAATATACCAAATTGTTAATGCTATCTACGTTATCATCAATATCTATGTCCCTTAGGATTTACGAAAGACAACATCTCATTAAAATTAACAGTATTTACTAGTTTCATTAAGTTTGTCGTTTTCCTTGTAGCCATGTTTTAAGTGTATTTTAATTGTCAAGATTCATCTTAATTTTGTGAGCTGTGTTGTTCTACGTTCTTATAACATCCATAAATGTTTCAGGGCTTTTACTGTAAATGTGCTATAGTTTTACAAGTTTTAAATTAGAGAACTAGATTTTTTGACAAAGCACAAAAAATAAGGATATCTTATTATCTTGTTTATCTTTTGTGTCTATCTTAAGCCTTTAAGTAATTAAAAATTTAATTTTCTAGAGAAGAAAAGCGATACATGTGTTTTTCAGATTACATGTACTATGAAAACAAACATTTCAGGCCTGGGCTTAACGGCGATTTCCTCAGAGTTGGTGCTTGAACCTTACGACTATAACAACCTAAGCCTACTATAAATGACTATAACAATCTAAACTTACTATAAATGCCAAGAAACATCAAAAAGAAAATCAAATGTTAAGAGAATAAAAGTTTAAATAAATATTAATTTCGTGCCCAAAAATGTTTTCCCACAAAATGAATGGAAACTAGTTTTATTTCATCCCTATGCAGAATTAAAAGAGTTTTCAACTGTTATTTAATAATCAAAGTTTTACATATTCATACAAAGTGATTTGGTTAAAACTAACACTCCTCCTTTCTAGTATTTAAAAGTTTGACAAAGTTTAAAATTATGTCAACTGTAAATGTATTGTGTATGTAAAACATTCAACATATTTATAGGTGAGGAAACAACCGTTTTTAAAAATATTAGAGAAAGTCTAGTAGCAAAAATTCAATCTTGATATTACATCCAGTCTTTCCCTTATATTTTTTTAAACTGTATTAAACTGACCAGCTTGGTCAATTTCTCTCACACCTTTACAGAAGAACTCAAAAAGTGTATTTTTTGCAATGTATCATACTTTAAAATACTAGTTTAATTTAGTGAAATGTTGTGTATTTATTTTAGTTTTTTTTTCTAATAAAGTTCGAGTTACAAGCCACTTAAATTGTTTCTATAAGTTGGATTTTCAAAATGTCAACATCGATATGAAATATATTCTATATTTTAGGTAATATAATATTAATTCTATGATGTCTTTCTAAAGTTTACAACATAAACATTCAATTCTGTGAAAAATACTTCATGAAAGTTAAATCTGGTCAATCATTATTTTAATATCTAGGGCTTTTTGAATTTCATTTTTAACTTTTGGAGAAACAAAAACTTTAAAGAACTATTTGAAAAAATTTCAAAGAGAAAAATGTAATTGAAATATTTCTGGCTAGAAAATTTGTTTTTTTTTAAATCAGCTCACATAGAAAACAAAAACTATTATCTTCAATAACTGAAACATTAAAATAGCAACGCGTTCACACAAAAGGATATACGAGCGCAATTTTTGCCCTACGAGAGAACACAAAAGCATATACGAGCGCAATTTTTGCCCTACGAGAGAACACAAATAGATACAAGCAAATTTGTTTTATTTTTTACTGACTTGGAAGAGTTAACCTAATTCTTACGTACAGTTTCGCCAGCTTTTTACAACGTTCACTTTCTATAAAGAGAATAATTCATGACAAATCACAAAAAAAAGATGTAACTTAACCAAACGTTTTATTTTATAGAACTATGTAATAGACAAAAGAAGCTCAGCACTAAAATGGAAATTGTGTCTTCATGTGTTTAAACTGTAAATGTTCCTATTACAGCTTGTGTTTGGCTGTATTAATACTGTAATAAAAATAATTTAGTTATTGTAGTTTCCTTAGTGCAAAGCCATGAAATGGGTTATCACTACTCTGTCCACCTCGGGTAATCGAGCCCAGAGTTTAGCGCTGTAAGGCAGTAGTAAACTTATCGATAACTCACACTAAATACCTTACTAACCACGCCAGAATTGCAACGTAAAATATGTTTTGTATTTCAACGTTTGTGTAAGAAACTATAAGAAGACAATGAAGTCGTGAACTTCATTAAAGTGCATCAGTGGTGAGTTGTAAAAGAATAAGATTACTTTTTCATGTTCAGAAGAATAACAATTGTGGGATGGATTCACTTTACACTATGTTTTTACAGCGTTGTGACATTGAAACCTAATTAATTCTCATCATGTAATAATAAATGTTTTGACGTCGACTATATGATAACAAGTACTTCATTACCCAACAACTTATCATAGCTTTCGTTACACGGCAAGAAAAAACAAAATAAATCGTTTTTTTAGGCTACAAATACGCTGACTTGAGACAAAATGTTTTACTGTAATTCGATTATGTTATCCATTTGCCATAATTAACTGTTAAATGAATTATGGAAATTTGAGTAGAAATGTTTGTTACGCACTTGAACTGTAGTATCCAAAGTGAAACAGAGAAGTTACAAGTTTATTTAAGCAGCCGCAAAGACTATGTTAGCAAATATAGGTATAATGGTTTTTTTTTATTGTTTATTGCAAAGCTAAAATAAAGTTAAGTTAAGCGTAGTCTTTCTGAAAGACAATAAGAAGAGGACTAGAGGAAACAATTA